TACAACGCTTTCAACTTTGTGAAGCAATAAATGTCCTTTTTTAGCCAATTTTTCGCTAAAAATGGATCTAATACAATGGGTAAAAGTAAAAATAGAAAAACAACGTCTTACCAAAATCAGATCGCCGTATAAGTGCGTTAATAATTTGACTTCTATAACTGTCACACTTCTCTACAATCACACATATTTGTATCCCAAGTGTGTGATTATAGAGAGGTTTGACATATTATATTAACGAGTGTGCTAAGTATAAATCAGCAGATCAAACCCCTACAAGATATTACTCTACATTCCTCGATTAATTAAACATGGAAGGTGAGGTTTATATTTGTATTTCTTTTTATTTACTTTTTTTTTTATTGAAAAATTATGATCGTTAGGGCAATTCAACTTTCCAAAAGAAGAGGAGAAAATCCTCAAATTCTGGAAGGAAATTGACGCTTTTAACACACAAATAAACTTATCCAAGGGTAGACCACCCTTTTCGTTCTACGATGGTCCTCCGTTTGCAACTGGGCTTCCACATTATGGACATTTGTTGGCCGGTACTATCAAGGTAATTAGCATGTATTGGCATGTATTGGGCCATTAAACGCATTAAAACATGCAAACTTATTCAACATTTAAATAATAAAATAGGATATTGTGACTCGTTATGCAACTCAGAATGGTTATTACGTTGAACGTCGGTTCGGTTGGGATTGTCATGGTTTACCTGTTGAATATGAAATTGATAAAAAATTAAATATCAAGGTTTATATACTTTTTCGTATTCATTATCGACAAATCAATAAAACTTTATTAATAAATTAGGGTTATTTGTAACTTTAGTGTAAGGATGATGTTTTAGCATTAGGAATTGACAAATACAATCAAGAATGCAAAAGCATTGTCATGCGATATTCAGGAGCTTGGCGAGAGACTGTAGAACGTATTGGCCGTTGGATTGATTTTGATAATGATTATAAAACTTTAAACACCTCTTTTATGGAAAGCGTTTGGTGGGTGTTCAAAGAATTATATGAAAAAGGTCAAGTCTACCGTGGTGTAAGAATAATGCCATATTCTACTGCGTGTACGACTCCAATTTCGAATTTTGAGGCTGCTCAAAATTATAAAGATGTTAATGACCCAGCTAGTAGGTGTAAATTTTCTGATAGAATGTCAACTTTATTATTTATCCAAATTTTAATTTATTTATTTCTATTTCTTTCTTTGGTCAGTTGTCGTCTCTTTTCCTTTGGTCAATGAACCGGACGTGCTTCTTTTAGCATGGACGACAACACCATGGACGTTACCTAGTAATTTAGCTCTCTGTACCCATCCTGATTTTGAATATATTAAGATTAAGGACGAAAATTCTGGGAAGATCTATATCCTTCTGGAGAAATGTTTAAATACTTTATATAAAGATCTCAAGAAGGCAAAATATGTCGTATTGCAAAAAATCCTAGGAAAAGATATGAAAGGATGGGAATACATCCCTTTATTTGAATATTTCGTTCCTCAGGTGAAGAAATATACACCAGCGATTTTAAACTTTTTGATTTGTTATTTTTTGCAATTAGCGATTAACATTTTTTTGTTTTCGTTAATAATTCATCCATCATAAATTTCATAAACTGTTTGGTCGTAATATATCTAATAATAATTAGTTTAAAGGCAAAGGATTCATCGTATTAAATGATACATATGTCACTGATGACAGTGGTACCGGAATTGTTCACCAAGCACCAGCTTTTGGTGAAGACGATTATCGTATATGCCTCAAAAACAATATTATTACGGAAGATGGTTTTCTTCCTTGTCCTGTCGACGAACAAGGTTTATTCACTTCGGAAGTGACGGACTTCGCTAAAATGCATGTCAAGGTTCAATACTCAATTTTAAAATCAAAAGCACCATGAACCTTTATTATTATGTAGAGAATTCTAATTTAAAAATATATATTTTCTTTTTATTTAATATTAATCTGTCCCTTAGGATGCCGATAAGAATATCCAAAAACTTTTAAAACAAAATAATCGATTAATAGTACAATCTCAAGTTAATCATAGTTATCCTTTTTGTTGGCGGTAAGTAATTGAACTAATCGATATACATAAACATAAACTTGAATTCTTTGTTGGCTGTTTCTTAACATTATTGGCATTCGAATAGATTGGTAACGCTTATGCGCCTTAAAATATTTGTAGCTCAGATACTCCATTAATATATAAGGCTGTTCCATCGTGGTTTGTTCGCGTTAAACCCATCATCCCTCAATTATTAAAAAACAATCAAGAAACTTATTGGTGAGTTTATTTATTTATTTATTTTATTTATATTTTTTCCTTGTCAAATTATAATGATACAATTAAACTTTAAAATATAGGGTTCCTGAGTTTGTCAAAGAAAAAAGGTTTGCAAACTGGATTATAAATGCCCGAGATTGGAATATCTCTCGTAATCGATATTGGGGCACGCCAATTCCTCTATGGGTTAGTGATGATTATGAAGAGGTAAATTTTGGTCTTTTACTGTATATGTGCTTCATTTAATATTTCATGCATAATCATGCTTAAATTAATTACAAATACCATCTGTTTTATTCGACAATAGATTGTTTGTGTTGGTTCTTTGGCAGAACTAGAGGAATTGTCCGGTTGTGATAAATTAACAGATATTCATCGTGACAAAATTGATCATATTACGATTCCTTCAAAAAAAGGAAAGGGCTCACTAAAAAGGGTGGAAGAGATCTTTGACTGTTGGTTTGAATCTGGAAGGTACATATAACGAGTGCAGTTTCAATTCAATGTTCTATGTTTGATATTGGATAATCAATAATTTAATATTCTTATAACTAATAACAGTATGCCGTATGCACAATGTCATTACCCTTTTGAAAATAAAGAAAAATTTGAAGGCTCTTTTCCTGCTGATTTTATTGCCGAAGGGCTCGACCAGACAAGAGGATGGTTCTATACTCTCATGGTCTTATCTACACATCTATTTGATAAACCAACATTCAAAAATCTAATAACAAATGGTCTGGTATTGGCGGCGTATGTATTGATATTGTCTATTTTATTGCAATGAATTCGGTTTCAGCCTTTGATCTATTTATTACTTTATTTAATTCGCATATAGAGATGGTAAGAAAATGAGCAAACGCCTGAAGAACTATCCTGAGCCCCAAACTATCATTAACGCGTATGGTGCTGATGCTTTGAGGTGCAATTAGAAGTCTCTTAAAGTCTCTTGACGATTTTATCATATATTATTCTTAATAATTTATAAATAGTTTACATGCTTTCCAGATTATACCTTGTTAATTCTCCAGTCGTACGTGCTGAGCCATTGAGATTCAAAGAAGAAAGTGTCAAGGAGGTTATTTCCAAGGTTTTTCTACCTTGGTACAATGCTTATCGTTTCCTTGACTCGCAAGTTGTATTGTTAAAAAAGGTTGGGATTTATTAAACAGCAAGACACTAATATCTATATTTATATTTATATTTATAAGCACTAATGTTTATATATATTTGCAATTATCATACAATATCCACATAGGATACTGAAATAGAATTTAAATACAATCCATTGGCAAAGAAATCTGAAAATGTTATGGATAGGTGGATATTGGCATGTTCTCAAAGTCTTATAAAGTTTGTACGTGAGGAAATGGGAGGTATGAATTTTTCATATAATATAATTATATTTTTCTGGTTGCTAGCACATTGAATAACAGACGCGTTAATCTGTAATTAGCCTATAGATTGTACACTGTTGTCCCGAGATTACTAAATCTCATTGAACAATTAACTAACGGTTATGTCAGATTTAACCGCAAGCGACTGAAAGGCGAAAATGGTCCAGAAGATACCATCAATGCATTAAATACGTTATTTGAAGTCTTGTTAACATTATGCCGTGTTATGGTAAAAGAAAGATATATATTTTTGAAATAATACTTTATGAATTACAATCGTTACATATGTCTTAAAGTCAAATTCGAATAGGCTTCCTTCACCCCTTTCCTCACGGAGCATATTTACCAAAACTTAAAAAAATATCTACCACCATCTTATTCCAATGAAGATGATCGTTCTATTCACTTTTTACCTTTGCCAGAAGTGAGGAATGAATATTTTGACTCTGAAATTGAACGTCGTATGTCACGCATGCAGGCAGTTATTGATTTGGGTCGAGTTATTCGTGAAAAAAAAAATATTGGATTAAAGGTTTGTTTAATATATTTATTGAATTTTTTTCCCTTCAATTTAGGATGGCATATTGTTTAACCATTTGATCTGTAACATTTTACTATCTTCAGACACCTTTGAAAGAGCTTATCGTAATACATTCGGATTCACAATATCTTTCAGATGTTATGTCACTTGAGAATTATATCGTTGAAGTACGTTCTGAACATCATACTAAACTTTGTAACTTTAATAATTAATTCATATAATCAAACATTTAAAAATAATATTTTTTATGAACTAGGAATTAAATATCAAAAATCTTCTTGCTACATCGGATGAAAGTAAATATGGCATAAAATACCGAGCGGAGGCTGATTGGAAAGTGTTAGGTCAAAAGCTTAAAAAAGATGCCGTTAAAGTAAAGAATGCTTTACCCACATTGACTTCTGAACAAGTCAAAGATTTTGTGCACAATAAAGAGATTTTGATTGATGGAATTAAAGTGATCGAAGAAGACCTTCAAGTAGTAAGATATTTCGAAGATGCTGATAGCCATTATGAAACGAATACTGATAAGGACGTTCTTATACTTTTGGATGTCAAAATATACAATGATTTACAAGAGGAAGGTTGGGCTCGTGAGGTTGTGAATCGTGTTCAGAGATTACGAAAAAAGGTGAACTAATTTCTTTTATACACATTCTTGGACGTACTCTGTTACTTACATTTAGTTTATATTCAATTATATTCTTAGGCGGGATTACAGCCTACAGACCCGGTATTAACATATTATAAATTTACTAAAGATGTCAATAATCAAGTAGAAACCATCATTAAGACGCAAAGTGACATTATTGTCAAGATTTTAAAACGACCGTTATTACCAATGGCGGACAAAATTGATGGAGCTGAAGTTATCATTGAGGAAGTTCAAGAGGTTATTGTACTTTTTATAATTTATGTAAATATATATATTTTATGCTTCACCACTTATTTGAATTATATATTTTTTGTACTCTAGGTCAATGAATCCACGTTTCTGTTATGTTTAGTTAAAGATTGGTGAAAAAAAAAAAATAAATAAATTGAGCTTTAATAACATTTAATTTAATGGATTTTAATAAACCAGTTTAGGAATTGTTCAGTAAAAAGTTATTGGATAAGGTTACACATTGTAAATCTTTCTAATACAGTAATATAACTAAATATGGTATGGCTATGCGTGGTGCAATTGAGCCATGGATAATAAAAACGTAAATTAAAAAATATCACAATATACTGATATAGTCACGACAATAAACTATTATATTTCATAATGTAAATACCCACCTTATACTTCGCCTACCGCAATTTGGCGAAGTTAATAAAAAAAATATAACAAATTGTCATAAACGGCCACTCCTAAAATGTGGAAAAATGTGAAGAATAGATGAAGTAGGCGAAGTATAAGGAAGGTAATAATCTTAATTAATGGAGTTTGGTTTTTAAGAGTCATCATATAACAATTGATAGCTAGCAAAAAAATTTACCATTACCGTTACGCATGGAGTGTTGAATAACGATAACGGAGTTACGGCAAAGTGCTCCGGATTTGGTAGCTAAGCCACTGATCATAGAAAATAGAAAGACAATGCACAGTAATTTCTGATTTGCTAGTTTACGTACGTAATTTAGGTACGTACAATCATCTGCCTCAAGGCGCAGTTACATAGACAGCAGTTTCGTTTTCCAACGTAATTTTGGTTTTCTCTGGGGTATCTACAGCACTCAGACACGTAATAAAGTTTATGAGTTTTTGTATCTGGAATATCATAGTTAAAGGTATGAACACTTTTATCAAAGATTTAAATAGTTTAACAAAGTATAAAATCATGAAATACAAATTATATAAAGAGTAAATTCCTCTTTGAAATTATTTTTTATATAGTTAATAGCTATTGAGTTGGCTTCAATCATAAATTGTCAAAAGTTCATTATATAAAAGAAAATGCCAAGTCAGGAACATAATCTAGTCGGAGAAAGGCAAGCTACCCACGGTGTGCCAGATCTTGATAACCTTGTACCTGATTCCGTGTCTAATCATAATAAAGATGTTGAATTTTCTGAGTCTAGAATTACCACGGTAAATATGTTTAAGCCACTCAAATTATTTTTATTTTTATTTTTATTCATTATTTATCATAATAACTTAATAATCTTAAATAAACAATAACTTTCTTCATAATATTTCCGGTACTGTTTTTTACTTAATTTTTGTGCTAAATATATCAGGAAGAGAAAAATGATAATTCATCTCAAAAAGATACACCAATTAATAATCAATATAATCAAACTCGAGATACAAACGTACAAAACACTGAACCGATGGACTGGACGCCGACAAAATCAGATGGATCTCTTCCTTCCCCTGTACGATCACGATCGCGATCTGGTTCTGAATCACCGTCGTCCAATAAGTCTGTTGCTGTCAATTTAATTCCGCTGAACGATTCGATTTCATTTACTCCAAAACACCTTTTATTTACTCCTGATCAGGAGATGAAGGTGGGTAGAGTGAGCGGAAGTCGTAATCAAAAAGAAGCAAAAGCGGATAATGGTGTGTTCATTTGTGATGTCATGTCTAGAGAGCATGCAATGCTTAAAGAAAAAAATGGAAAGGTAAATCTTGTTTTCCTTTTTTTCTGTTTTCTATCCTATACTAATTTTTCAAGTTTTAATACTTTTTAGATTTTAATCAAAGATACTAAAAGTACTCATGGTACTTTCGTCAACAACAGTAGGCTGGGAGATGGTACACAGGATAGTGAATGGCGAGAGTTATATCATGGTGATGTTATCACCTTTGGACATAGTGTAAGACGTAATCAAAGTAATTAATATTTTCATTAATTAATTTCATTTCTATTGCATTTTCGTTAAATTATTTATTAAACTACTACATTTATTGTAGATTTGTACAAGCATTTATCTGCTTGCGTTTATTACCCTAGAGGAAAGAAAGATGGGCAAAATATACCAATCTCTCTCAATGGTAATTCAGTAATTGGACATACTATAGATTCGGCGAAAAACAAATCTGATAGACTTGAAGAACAATCATCTTCCGTTGCGATGACGAACATAGCACGAATCCAAAATCCACCTATAGAACCTTCCGCACAACCTACATTATTAAACAAGTATGTTTTATATATCCATATTTATTACGTTTTAATTAATTAATTAATTTTATATAATACTTATATAATTTTTCTTAATATGTTTTTAGTAAAAAAGAAACAACAGCAGAAACTCAATCAAATAACATAGCCCAAAAGGCTGATGATGATCAGGTAACATCTGCCAATGATGCTGATAACGATAAAAAAGGTTCTACCGAATCAAAATCGCGTGAAGTAGGACCTACTGAATCGCCTGGTGAAGGTAAAATTAAAATATCCTTAATTGTTTTATAAATTATGATTTTTAATTTTTAATCTTTATATGTTTTAAGTTAATTGTGTGGATGAACCTATGGTTACCACCTCTGCAAATGTTGCACAAACTAATTCTAACTTGAATGTATCGGTGAAACAAACGAAAAATATATCTGCTGTGAAAGTAGAAAAACGAGAAGTTACAACTATTGCTAATAAAACTGAAGTCCATCCTCTAAAAGAAGAAATTGTGCCCTCTGACGATTTCCATAAAGTTAATGAACATAAACCAGTAACCCCAGCAATTACTCCGGATCCTAGTCCGGTCGAAGCACCTGTTGATGATCCAGTTAATAATCCACAAAAAACATCTGCAGTCACCATTTCAATTAAAGAGAAAGTTTCCTCGCAAGCTTTAGTAGAAACAAAATCTAAAAATCCGTGTATGGGTAGTAATGAAAATGTGTGTTATGTAAGTAACGGAGAAGGCCCATCTCACGCTAATGAAACCCAAATTACCACTTCTATTCCGTATCGTAAACGCAAATTTGAAGAAGTAGATAATAATTTAGAACAAGAGCAAGTGGACGTACTCAATAGACGATTAGCTGAATTAGAAGAGCGAGCAAATAAACGCAGGAGGTGGGAACTTATTACCTCTACAGTAATTGGGATGGTGGCCGGTGTTGTCAGTCTTGGAGTCGGTGCCTACATGCTAGGAAATTAACAATGTATAATTTTGCATAGCATCCTATCATAATGGTACTATTGTCTATAATTGTTTTGTTTATTATATCGGAATGTCACTTAAATTCTGCATTTTTTTCGCGTTTTGAGGGCATTAGTGGCTCATTATTTCAATCACATTCATATTCTCGCTACCTGATTTATCTTGAATGTTAATCCTTTTTTCTTTTTCCTTTGATACATAACCCGGTCATCATTAAGCTACAAGAGAGAACAATTATATATATTTTTTCTCTGTTCTGACTGAAGTATATGTATATATTCCAACCATAATATCGGGTAAATAAATTCATTAAATTTTTGTGCACTGAAAATATATATGTATATGTATATATATATATATATATACATATATGTGTACATATAGAAATCATTAGTTGTTTGGTCGCGTTATGATGACACAGATCCTATGTGATTTACAATACACGAATAAACCAGTTTTATTTATATCAAGATAAAAATGTTAAACACAAGTCCATGAATTAAGAATTCATTTATATTTTACAATTTGATAAATAGTTGACTTACAGTATGCTATTGTTTTTTTATGTTTTGGAGCATATCTTAAGTTCAATCGCATGGCTCCGTGTCGATATTCTTTTATTTAATGTTTACAAAGTAATGTAAACGATACAAATAATGATTTACCAAATTAACAAAAATGTTTTTTTATAATTTTATTATAATTTATTATCACTTTATAATACAGTATGGGGTTGAGTTAATAAAATCAAGCAAATATTTTTTAATAAGTTTTTTTTAAAACTTTAAACAAGGATAACTTAATAAAAACTTAATCAAATTTAATAAATTTTTTTTAAATTGATTTTACATGTATTTAAAAAAAAAATTTTATTAAATTTGGTTATATTTTTGTTAATATTTTTTTTTTCAGTGTTAAGGTGATTTCTTTGGCCATAAAGTGTTTTTTATTAGTAGTTAATTATATATATAGTTACAACAAAGTTACAATTAGCCACATATGCACCTTTTGGGTGTCTATTTAAATAGTTTATTCACAGGTTCTATACTAGCTACTGTATCTGTAATCTAACTATAAAGTTGTCTATTTAACTCTTTTGTTTATAACTATATATAAACAAATCTCTACTAACTTCAGGATTTCTATTTAGTTGTTTCTATTAAATTTTACACTTTATCTTAGAACTTTTGCAACTTATTTTGGGTTTGTACTAACTAATTACTAGCTTGCATTTCTTAATTAAGTAAACACATAGCTATTCTCAAAGTAAACCTATCAGAACCTTCTTTATTTTATTCAAACCAATCTAGTTTTACACAGTTGTTAAGGCTTTTACTTACAGTTAGGTTTTCTTATTTAACCATTTTTGCTTTTATAAAGTTTACTTCTCAATTCTAATATCTATATTCAGACTTTTCTTTTTCTATTATTTTCTTATTAGTTTATCCTTTACTTTTAACCAACAACCTGGGAAATTCAATCTTGGCTTGGCTAGTACTTTTTATTTTATTTTGGTATATAATTTTCTAATATATATTCTTTTTCTTCAATTTGATAGGCTAGTTCTTCCAACATGTCTAGTATTTTTCTGTCTAACTAGTTTTTTACTTAACTTCTATAGCTTCTAATCTGATAAATAGAGCCTTTTATTACTAATTTCTTATACTAGCTAGTTAGAGTTAATGTACTGTAGCATAGATAACTAGTCTTGTTACCTATATCACTTGACTTAACATGCAGAGGGTAAAGAATATGATTAAAAGGAAAAAAAAAAGAAAAGAAAACTAAAAGCAAGGAATATAAAATATATAGTATAAAAATATAGAAGATAAGAAAAAAAACTAAGAAAGATAATAAAACTAAATTAGAAAATAGTAAGAAAGGGCAATAAAAAAGACAATAAAATCAAGATAGAAAGTAATAAAAAGAAGCAATAAAGGATAATAAAAAGGCAATAAAAGAGAGTATATAATATAAAAAATATATAGTTAAAAGGATAATATTTATTTATTAAAGAATAGTTAGGAGAATATAAGTTAAGACCTGGCAAAACCTAACAGAACTTATCCTGCCTTGGGCAAAAAAATAAGGTTTTTATATTTTTTAGAACTCTGTATAAGAATGAATAATGTTTTGTGCCAACAGGCCTGTGTCTATACCAACAGGTCTGTACCAATGGGTCTGTGTCAACAGGTCTGTACCAACAGGTCTGTACCAACGGGTCCTGCATTATAGGGATGACATATTATTATTCATCACTTTCTATAGTTATATACCTTTAAACCTTAATAACTCGTTAACTATTAACCCGATTGACAAACAGTAAAAACTATGCTAAGGAAATTGATATCAAGGATTCTATTAGTGGAATCAGATTTGTATTACACTTAGAAGTTACACGGAGTTACTTAATAGAATTTTTAAAAAAATACTAATATATTGCTAATATAACACTACTCCCTTCTTCGAAAATTTTACTCTATAAAATTTAAGAAGTTAGTAAGTAATTTACAAATAAGAAAATAAAATAAACTAAATAAATAAATAGCTAATAATAAAGTAAAATAATATTATTAATAATAAATATAAAAGTTAAAAATAATAAAAATGCAAACTAAAAGGGTGTAGCAGCTTAGTAAAGTGGTCTAGTTGTTACTCTCCAAGCGGCAGGTCTAGAGTTCAAATCTCACAAACAACGATTTTGAAAATTAAGCCTGTGTTCGGTAATGATTATCTATTGATCGGTTGGATCTACAATTTGTAATCTTGGTTGCACTATTTCATTATGAGAGCTTTAGTGTTTAAATATCAAAAAACTAGGATGATCGAAACCTGTTTGGAAGACCCGAGTAAGGAGTAGTAGAAACTTTCAACAGTGCCACAGAAAGACTAAATTCAGAACTGAAAACTGAGACCAAAGAACTGAGTGACTAGGTCCTTAAGTGGGGGGACACACTAGCTAAACTGCCAGATCACCAACCGGAAGAAAAGGACATGTGCTCTGGAAGCATGTACCAAGAGAAGGGAGACTATAAGGTACCTAAAGCCTAGGCAGACTAACCATTCTGGGTTGCTGACTAGAAACAAGAGAGAGACTGATAAAGAATCCAGAAAAGAAAGAAAGTTCAAATGTGAATTTAGGAGTAGAAATGAATCTTACAAGAATAGAGGATATGTGCAGCTTGGGTAACCGGGCTCGCTAGTATACAGGTAAAGCCATAGCACAGTATCTCTAAACCAAATCTGGAAATATGTAGGACGTAGAAGGATTTAGAAGAGCATCTACTGCGCCCTTCCTTGGGTAAATACTAGTTAATTAGATTCGAAGAGTTTATTTATAAAGAGGTAAAGTCAGTAAGAGAATGCTAGCCTGGGTAGCCTTTGTGCAGCATGAGATAGGACGGTTTGAACCAAATAGAGTAGTGCAGGACTAGAGATATCAGAGAGTTTAAATAGGTAACTCTCTAGTTAGGTTATAGGTATGATATCTAGTATAGAACCTTCAGGCAGACTACTTAAATAGGCACCCAAAAGGTGCACGTATAGCTTGATATACTCTCATAGATCTAAAAATGTACTGCAGCATGTAACAATATAAAAATATAATAACATTTAACATTACTTCTAATAAAGTTCACCTGTCACAGCAATTTGGCAATATAAAAAAAAAAATAAAAAAAAAAAATAAAAGTACAAACTATAGTCAGTACTGTTACTACAATGCACTGGGTATGACAGGCTACTAGTGGGATTCGAACACATAGCTATGCACTACCATATGCTCTACCTACTATACCACAATAATATGTATATAATAAATTTTTTTTCTACACTCCTTTTGAAGATCAATTTTTGTGTAGAGTTGTACAATAATATTGTCCGATTTGCCCTTGTGTATTTGACAATCTTCGAAAATAGTAAATTGGGCTGTATGTTATACTGCATATACTTGTGCTTTTACCCAATTTTTGTCATTGTTCCTTGTAGAATTTTCTAAAATGACTAAACATTCTAATAATTATAGTTATCTCAAACGAAGTTTTTATTATTATAAAAGTGATAAAAATAATAATAATAATAATAACAATAGTAATAATAATAGTAGTAATAATAACAGTAATAATAATAATAATAATAATGAAAAAATTGTCATTATCTCTAGTGATGAGCTAGTTTGGGAAGAACCAGTTCAAGAAAATATGACTCCCAAAGAAGTGGCTTCCGAAGGAGTAACTCCAGAAGTCACAGAAGAAATAATAATCTATCTTTATATTTTTGAAGGTTTAGGTTTGATGAAGAGCAGTAGTAGATATAAAAAAGTCAAATAAAAATAATAGTAATAATAAAAAAAATAATAAAATTTTTTTTTTTTTTTTTTATAAGTTTCTAACAAGAGTATCGAATCTTTTCTCATCAATTAGCATCTATTCAAAAGCAACTTTGAATAGCAAAAGTATTAAGTTAAGATGCTTTGTCATCTCGATTAGTAAGAAGAAAGAAAGAAATTGTTAATAGAATTGAGGCAATGAAGAAGTATTGCCTTAGTAAGAGATATCAAGTTTTTAGGCATAGGGAGTTGTAATTTGTATTTCTCTTTTTTTTTTTTAAAAAAAGAAATAAAGTTTTAATTTTTTAATTTTTCAAATTGTTTGATAATTATTTTCTCAAAATTCGCAGTATATAGTTCTAATGAGTTGTATAGTTTATTAAGCCTATATTTTTGAAACAAAGTATAAACTTTTGTTGCTTGAGTTTGAAGTCGATTAGCACCAGATTTTCTAAATTTTTTCATTTTCTCAGAATTTTGTTTTTGTAAATAAAAATTAAAGATTTTAAACATAAAAGTTTAAATATAATAACGAATAAAATTAATACTTAATCAGAATATTAATAAACAAAAAAAAAGGGTGTGGCGACTTAGTGAAGTGGTGGAGTTGTTGCACCCCCAGACGGCAGGTCTAGAGTTCGAATCTCACGAACGACATTTTCGAAAAATA